ATGTTGAGATAGTGGTTTCCAAGTGATTCAATAACCTTCCATACTTCTCAAAATTTGCCTCCACTGCTGCCAATTGCTCCATGGCTGACTTTTCTTCACTCTCCTTATTCCCTCCTTCAGGCACTGTGGCAACATTAGCATTCTTAGGCTTTCTTGTCTGATTATTCTTCTTAAAATTGTTGTTATTCCTAAACCTATCCAAGAGAAGATCTGGATGAAGCTTCCAACAAGTGTCTTTAGTATGCCCCGATTTCTTATAGTATTAGTCAGACCCTTCGGCTTTATTCTAGCATGTGTAATGTGTTCTGTAGGTGGACTCTGTAACTGAACCTGCCGCCTACTCTCTTCATTGCTTACCATAGCATATGCTTGGGCAAGAGTGACCTCATCCTTGGCCAGAATATTCAGCCTAGTAATGTCGAACTCAGGGTTGAGTCCTGTAAGAAATTCAAACACCCTGTTTCATTCCACTAGTTTCCTAAAAGTCTTTGCATCCTTAGTACTCTCCCATACAATTGTCTCCATAACATCAATTTCCTGCCATAGTGATTTCAGCATAGAGTAGTAGATTTCTACACTCTTCTCCCTCTATCTCAGATTTTTCACAACACTCTTCAGCTTATAGGCTCTTGCTACATTCAACTTCTATGGTCAAAGCATAGAGGCTGACATGACCAATAGGTTTCCGTAACATTGTCCCAGATCTCCTTGGCTGAAGACATCCAAAGATAATGCTGACTTATATGGGGCTGCATAGTGTTGACCAACCATCCGATTACTGTGCAGTTATCCTGCATCCATTTCTCATATGTAGGGTCTCTGCGGATTTCACCTTATTGCCTATGAGATACCCTAATTTACCTTTGCTACAGACATAAATCTGCATAGGCTGTGCCCAAGCTAGGTAATTGGTTTCATCTAACTTGGTCACTCCAGTAAAAAAGGAATCTACTGGGCCAAGCCTGGATATTGGCATTTGCTTGGACTCACTTCCAGATTGCTCCATTGATCAAACGAAAAAAAAAAAAAAAAAACTAGATTTTCAGACCTTATAAACTTAACCAAGGTCAAAACAGTACCCAGATACTTGACAACTAGGATTTCACTACACCCAGCTGTCGGGGAGGGAGAGAAAAGAGGCAGCCGCTCCTACCAGAGCTTCCCAATCTTCTTCAAGTCTTAACCGCACTAAGCGACACACCAAAAGCTTCTCCTTGACTTGTAACTTTCAAAGCTCTCTAGTCGGCTAGGGTTTTGGCAGAAAAAAATATAGGGAACTTATCTCTCCATACACTTTCTTCAACACTCCAAACCCTCTACCAACTAGGCAAAAGATCCTCTGATCTATAGGGAACTTATCTCTCCATACACTTTCATAATCGAAGGGTGTATGGGAAAAGAGAAAAGAAAAGAGAAGGGAGAAACCTGCTCTAATACCAAGAAGTAAATCAGTCCTCTAAATCTGATATAAACTTGATTAAAAAATAGAGAAGAAAGTTGAAGAAAGGTAGAAGATAGCAGAACAGAAGAAGAAGATGGAGAAAAGAAGAGGAAGAAGAAGAAGAGTCCAGTGATCTCGTCTCTCCCCTTACTAATCCTTTGTTAATCTTCATTTTCTAAGTTAATTACAAAGTATGCCCTTAAGTGGGCGGCCAACTAAGCAAGAACTTAAAGTAAACTTATAAAAAGAAGTAACAGGCCCACTAACAAATAAAATAAACAACACCCTACATACATAAAAGAATAGATACTAGGGCTCATTTGGCCCAGTCTCTCTACAAATGCCACATGGCAGCTATATATGATTCTACATGGCAGACACATTTCATTGATTATATTCAAATACCACTTGACATCTATATATGTTACTATGTGGCATACATTTGTCACTAACTACCTTCAAATGCCATATGAAATCCATATATGATATTACATGGCGTTCAACATGCCATCACATGGCATAGACATGCCATTGAATATGTTGAAATGCCGCGTGACATTAATATAAGCTACCACGTGGCACACATATCATTGAATACATTAATGTATCCATGCTTCCACGTGACATCCATATATGTTGGCATATGGTGGAGTGTATAAGTACTATATGTGTGGTTGGTGTACAAATTTTAAAAAGTATTAAGTACATGAAAAGGCTAAAAAGCACGAAGCATCGAAATCTAACTTCATGCTTTTCATAAAGCAAACACACTTCTGCTTTTTGTACTTTAGTAACATTTTAAAAAGTATTAAGTACATGAAAAGGCTAAAAAGCACGAAGTGTCAAAATCTAACTTCATGCTTCTCGTACTTTTACTTTGTTTTTTGGAAGTAAAAACACCTCAAGCAAAGACACACTTTTGCCTTTTGTACTTTAGTACTTTGAAAAGTACTAAAGTACTTTCAAAAAGTGCTGCTATACGGGCCAGAATTAAATCTTGTTCCAAGGAGTTTCTTTTGTCCCAATTTTCAATTATGTTATTATCTTGCCCTCTACCCATTGAACCCACTATTTGATAGTGTACTTTCTTTGCAATGAAAAACCTGTAGATGTTTTGACAGAGGGGTCCCTTTATCAATGTTTCCAATTGGCATTATTCTTGTATTATATGATTGTTGGTGCATGAAGAGTAAATTTGACAATAATAAGACATGTTTCTGATTGGTGTCAATTTATATTTTGTATGTTGTCATTATTATTTCTTATGGATCAGGATATCATGTTTCTATGTGCATGGAGAGAAGCCATTTTATTTATTTTGGAAAAGATATTGTATTAATAAAAAGCCATTTTGGTACAAAGGTAAGTACTCATTCTTTTTTATATGCAATAAAAATCTCTTAACAATCAAAAAAAGGAAAATTTATCAAAAAAAAATCAAGAAAAGGAAAAAGAAATATGATAAAAACTTGGCTTGACAAGCAAGAGAGTGTAGGTTCAGTCTAAGATCAGAACCTCCTCCCCTATTCCTTTATAGAATCAATTTTCCATCTTTGAAACCTGTCCCTCAGATAGAGCCCTGTTTCCATTTCCCTCTCATGGAATCAATGATATCCACATTGATATTGTTTTGGAATGAGACATGAGACACCTAACCCATGGGTATCGTGCATCAAAATTGGAAATTTATCAGGTAGGGTAGTTTCCAAGCAAAGTTCAGTGCTCAACAATAGTTTTGTAATGCAGTCCAACCTGTACTGGAGGAATCATTACAGATGAATGTTTGAAACCTCTTAAGGTCCATAGACACTTAGAGGAAGATTGTTGAACTGGAGACTGGACCTTTTTTTTCTTTGAAAAGCTGAAGCATCGTTGTATTAATATTAAAACGAAAAAGTATACATGGTCCTCTGTACAATGACTTTTTGTACAATATTCACACCCCTTAAGGACCCCCCCCCCCCCGAAAAACTCTATTCTCAAAACAGATGAGGACAAATTTTCTCCTCTAAAACATTTGAGATTTGATATCCAGCTTTCAAACATATCTACTACTGTATTGATTATCCCCTCTGAATTTTCCTTGTGATCAAATAATCTTTCATTCCTCTCTAGCCAAATGGTCCACAGGACTGCTAAAGGCACAACTTCCCAGAAAGCTTTCCCTTTCTTGGATGGATCTTGAATTTGCCAACCAGCTAAAAGATCCTTGACTGTAGTTGGACAGCACCAGGATACAGGAATGGCCTTGTAAAAATGAAACCAAATTCTGGAGGAGAAATTGCAAAAAAGGAATAGATGACTCTAGGATTCAATCTCCATATTACAGAGTTGGCATAGACGGTCAGGTAGGATTGCTCCTTTGTCAGCATTTCTTTCGTTATACACTTCTCCCAAACTGCCATCGACATAAAGAACTAACTTTTGATGGAGCTTCTGTACACCAAATTGACTTGGATGGGAAGGACTGATCCAATTGACCTATCAGACCATGGTAGAAAGACTTTACAGTGAACTGCCCTGTTTTGATACATTTCCACCTTGAATCCTGAGCTTGTGTATTAATTTGCTGACCATGGAGCAAAGCTATCAGGTTAGATACCAGCTGCATCTCCCAATTATTGATATTTCTTCTAAAAGAGGGAGCCCATGATGGAGATGCCCCTGCAACTATACGAGTCATCAAGTAATGCTTCCTCATTGCTGGCTATTCTATACAGCTATGGGAAACTGTCCTTCGAAGCCCTCTCTTCACACCACAGGTCTTTCCAAAACTTATTCTCCTGCCTTCACCTAGCTGGTATGTGATTCCCATCATAAACTGAAGGGAGGGAAGCCTTAAATACCCCTCCACACTCCACAACCATATGGTGGCTTAGGGCCTTCTGCATCCTGCCCATTTCTCACCAATCCAGCATTCCCATATTTCTCCTCAATCACAATCCCCAAAAGTTCATTTGCTTCTGTAGAAAACCATCGAAACTAATTGCTCAAGAGAGTTGTATTAAAAGTCTCTACTCATGACTCTTCTTAACGAAACTGTCTAAAAGATGTTTTCTGATGGAAAGCTAGACGTATAGATGTATTAGGTTATTCCTTTCTCAGCCCCCTTTGGTGAACATTGGTGACTTTCAAGGGGCATTAGGGCATATGCTTTGAGATGCTGGCTTATTGACCAAAACCAAACAGAATGCAACCTTTCCATATTGGGGATACTACAGCTTTATTTTATTGTCATATTTTATATAAAGTGATATATTTAACTTTTGATACTTGAAAAAAAAAACAAAAGGCCAAACTTTGTTTTTGAAATAATTACTCCAAATGAAAAAAAAAAGTGAAGAGAGTTGGATAACCAATGCCATTTGTCTGTATCTTGTAGAGATCAACAAAATGATTTTATGGAATTCTGATTCTAGCTCGAGTTAGTTTCTCTCTTTTTTTTTTGCTTTTTTTTTCCTTCTTTTTTAATTTGTAGACCTTCAGAAGACATCTTTTTGCAAAATTAACAAAGGTACTTGGTTTAATCCTCTGATTATTGCTACATTTGCGTTTTCAGGTATACCAATATCTCATCTCTGGGAACAATTCGGCCATGCGACCTCTGGATAATTTGGAAGAGCTTCCAATTCCCCTTTGTAGTGTTTATGCATATGCTGGAGGAGAACCACCATTCACGAATTGCACACCTGATTTTACGAATACTCTTGATTACATATTCTTTTCCCCTTCAGGGTGTCTGAAGCCAGTCAGTTTACTTCAACTTCCGGGATTGGACTCTGCTGATGTAGTTGGTGGATTGCCCAACTACCAGCATCCAAGTGATCATTTGCCCATTGGTGCTGATTTTGAAGTTATCAAGACTTGAAGTTCCAATTGGTAACTCGCTTTACATGATAATTAATCTTATTCAATATTTAGATAGGAAGTAGAAAATAAAGAATTTGGGAAGCTGGGTTTGATTGTATTCATCCCGTCAGTTTGGAATCTCTAAGTTGTTTGCACTTTTGGGTAAATAGGAAGAACTAAGTTATTCTTTATCCTTCGTTATTTGTTATTACTAACATCCATCTCTCTCTCTCTCTATCTATCTATCTCTCTCTCTCTCTCTCTATATATATATATTACTTCCGTTCATTCTATTTAAAGTTTTAAAATGAATGTTTCATTCAAAGGGTCTCTTATCTCTAAACTGGGATAGGTTGTGTGTTATTTAGTTTCTGTTCAATATAATTTCCTCGCACTTGTTGGAGTGGTTCATGGTATTGGGTAACCACACGGTTAAATTTGTTTGGTTGTTAAGTTTTAAAGAAGGTAGAGAGTAAAGGAAGTATAATAAGTATTATGAAAATATTGACAAGAATAAGTTGCTTTATATTGCTGTTTCATAAATTAGAGCATGTGAAATTTGTACAATTGTACTTATTGAGAAACGTGAAATGTGCAAGGGCTAAGAGTATGAAAAAAAAGTTAAGAGAATTCTTGTATAAGTTGTATAATGAATACATGAATATGATTGCATCTCCAAGTGGGCAAATTAGTGAGAGGTCAAGTATTCAACTTCAATTGAGATAGGTAATGAGCATCAATCACAAAGAAAAAAAAGATGTGTTTAACTCATGTTTTTTCGAATGGAGGTTTTGGATAAACTGTTTCAGATTAGAATAATGGTTGATATGGCCAAAACTGACCATTAGTCAAAAGTTGCCAAGTGGTAGCAGGTTGCAAGCAAAGTTGTTAATTGACCTCACATCACGTTAGAAGGCTGAGCCGACTTTGCTAAGGTGACATAAGAGTAAAGGTGTAAAGTGCCTGTGGGCAGCCCGTGCTAAAGGTGGGCCATGCCATGCTGGCCCGTGGGTCACGGGCCGTGCCACCCTCCCCAGTGGAAAATTTGGGGGTCAACCCGGCATGGCCCACGGCCTAGGCCCAGGCGGGCCTGTGTCGTGCTGTGTTATGGGCTTGGGCCATGCCCGGCTGTAGGCCAAGCCGTGGGCTTGGGTCATGCCGGGTTGGGCCACAGGGTTGGCCTTGGGCTTGGGTCGAACCAGGCAACATTGTTTTGATTTCTTTTCTAAGTAAAATTGAACTTTGTGAATTGTGAACTATTTAAAAAATTAAGAAATGAGAAATCTAAGTTATTTAACACAAATGAAAAAAAAAACTTAATCAAATTGAAATAAGAATGATGGAATAACAAATTGGAAGAAAAATAGGAATTTTATTTTATTTAAATTTGAATGGTACAAATTACAAATACAATGATTGGATCATTGGATAATTGGATGAATGAAATATGAAAATGGAATAAATTAATAAAATATAAAAAATACAATATGGTTACAAATTGAAAATACAAAATTACATTGTTAAAAAATTAAAAACATATATCAAATAAATTAAAAAAATTACTACAATTTGAAAAAATAAAAAATTCTATACAAGTAGTCATTCATGAATCTCATGACTTTCATCATCTGCTTCGGGTGAAATATCCAGTGTAGTATCATGCCCTCCCTTGTCTTGTAATCTATCTTCTGCATCTAGCCAATCCTTGAAGCAGATGCACATCTCTAAGCTTTCATCGTCATGTAGCTTCTTTTGTCATTCAGCACCCTGGTACCTACACTCAAACAAGACTTCGATGGAACTCTAGACACCGGAGGGGTTAGTAGATCATGTGCCATGGCAGTGAGAACTGGATAATTTTTTGAATATTCACTCCACCAGTTTAAAATATCAAAATTATTTGATCTTTTACCTAAATTAGAAAAATTTGCTTGTAAATAAAATTAAGTTCAGTAAATGAACTTGTTGTAGAACTAGCAGATTTCTACCTTCTACTTATTAAATAAAAAAGTTTTTCTCTTCTACTACTAGGCTCAAGGTTCGAAGTACAGAAGATGATGAACAAGTTGTAGGAATATTTTCTACAACTTCAGATTCATACAAACTGTACATTTCAAATAATAAATTGTTATTTTCTTCTTTTTTATTTCCTATATCAATATTCATATTTTCACAATATGATTCAAGTAAAATRTMTAAACYATMTTTYCTAATMCTAGGRTCTAATATYGTAGCTAAACAATAAAGGGGAGAAATGTTCTCCCAATATAATTTTTAAATTTATTTTTCATAATTTTAGCAATACATTGAAATTGTGGATTATTTCTATATTTTGCAAAACAATCACTAATTACCATTAATTGATAAGGTAAATTACAACTAGTTGGATAATAAATTCTAGATAATTCATTAGTTGCTTAATAAAAATATTTTAAAAAATCTCTTATACAAATTGCCATTTCCTAGTCTTCCTCAAATATCATATCATTAGGCATTTTTAAATTATAAAATTCAGAAAGAATTTGTTTATGAGATATACAACTTTCTAACATAGCATAGGTGGAATTCCACCTATGCTTTACATTTAATATAAAATGTTTATATTTTAGACCATAATTTTGACATAAATATTTAAATTATTGTTTTCTTGCCCCTGAACTTTTTATATATATAATATAATTTCTAATTTTTGAAATATGAGTAGAAATAATATTCAAAGCATTTTGAATACATAAATTTAAGATGTGACATGCACAACTAATATGGAATAATTTACTATTTAAGCATGGTCTTAATTGAGATTTTAAAATATTTATTGCTGAATCAATATTGTTGGCATTATCAAAACTAATTGAAAATAATTTATTTTCTATTCCATAAGCATGCAAAGTATTTAAAATATTTGCAGCAATAGCTGGGCCACTATGTGGTCATTCAAGCCTAGTAAAACTTAAAATTCTTTTATTCAAAAGCCAATTTTCATCAATGAAATGACCAGTAACACAAATATAACTAATATTAAATTTGGATGTCCAAACATTCGAAATAATTGCAACTTTAGAATTAAGATTTGTTAACAAAGAAATTAAAATTTGTTTATATGAATAAAAAACTATTAAAGCATCAGCTTTTATAGTATTCCTAGAAATATTTTTATATTGTAGGTTTACAGAACTATACAATCACTTTTCTAGCTTTGGATATTCAATTAATATATTTTGTCTCATTTTTTTTGTGAATATTTAAAAGTACCAAAACTACTCCCCCTCCCAATCTGTGTTTGGATTGTTTCTCTCCCTTTATCTTCTTCTCGCTCATGTGTGAGCAGATGTCTGCTCAAATGACCCATACCACCCTTGCTATAATAACTAAAGTCCTTCCTACATTTTTGGCAAATGGCCATTTTCCCCTTCCCCTCAATATCCTCTACTTTGAAAATTTTCCAAACCAGGCTACTCAATTTAGAAACTCTCATTTTTCCCCTAGTACCAGTACTAGGGGTGAAAGTTCCACTTCCATCGACATCAATCTCATTAGTGCTAACATTATCATGATGCGATTGAATATCATCAATGGTGAACATGTTGGGGAATCGGTTTCCAGAAGAGCCGACCATTTTTTTTAATTGTAAAAAGATAAAAGTTAATCTAATTTGACTTACCTAGATTGTAGGTTCAAAATCCCAACTTGATTTCAACAGTTGAAGTCTTTCAACGTCCAAGCCTCCCAAATTGAGTTGGGCTGGTTGAACAAACCTTCTTGCTGAAAGTCAAAACTTCAATAAAGTTGAGACTTGAGAATTGGAGAATGTAGAATGAGACAATCAGCTAATCAAAATTACTCAGATTGCAAAGAATTGAGAATGTATGAGTATGAGAGAAAGATAGAAGAGATTAAGAAAATTGTTGAATTGGTATGATGAGAATGGTGGAGGATAGGGCTTTTTATAGGAATTGAACATAATTCAATTACCCAAAATACCCAAAAAAAACTAGTTGTTATTTAGTTGTTGGGAGGGGTATTTTGGTCATTGTAAAGTTATTTATAACTTTACCCAAAAATCCCCCCTAAACTAGTTGTGATATAGCTGTTAATATGGCTGTTTATAGGTGTTGGGGGGTATTTCTATAAAAACTCCCCCAAAAAGTTGAAATTAGTTGTTGGGCTCCTTA